TCTTAACTGTTCTTTTTAACTACAGCTGTACGTTCCATTATTGAAAGAATCGTCATTCTTGACACTTACCAAACGTTGATAGAATAGCTGTTAAAGCTGGTTCATAAAGTCTAGAATTTTTTTCTATACTACATGCGACAAATACTTGGTAAGCAAAATAAACAAATAATCTGCAGTCAGAAAAAAAACCTAAACCGCTTCATATAAGACGTGTTTTGACCAGGAAAGAAACTTGAACATTATTTTGTGCTCTATTTAAATTTAAAAAGATTATTGAAAGGCATTTGAAGTTAATTTATTGATAGCATATTTTTAGAAGACAGAGTTACTTCAAAAAACACAAAATTTAATTGTTCATGAAAAATATGATAAACATCGACCAAAACAGTTATTTTCTTTTGTCTAAATTATGGTTAAAGATTGTTCAAATATGTAAGTCTCTTTCGTTGCACTTGACTTAAATTTCTTCTTTTTTTATTTTTATTGTTCTCATTTTGACAGTAAAAAATTTGACAGTGTTTATATTTTGCACCTAAAAGATAATAAAAAAAAAACTGAAGGCCATATTAAACTCCTTTTCATAACCAATAATTAGTATATGGAAAAATCAGCAATCAAAAATGTAACCGAATAATTGTTTCCTTTCACGAATAGTTAATATAAATTAAAAAAAAAACAATAAAGAATATTGAGGTACATTAAAAAAATAATGCTACCAAGAAACCGATACACAAAGCAGACGATGTCGACAAAGTTGGCTGAAAAATGCAGGGTGCACAGAAAGCAAACCGTGAACAAAATTTTAGCCTACCCATAACTTCGGTATCAGAATCATCCTGCTGATATCGTGATGTGTCCATACATGATTCAGGATCCGACTGCACACTTCCGGCAACTGATGGACTAGTCCTACCGGAGTATAGAGTTGTTCGACTGGGAACACAAAGAAATTTTTGTGGCAAATCTAAATACACCCTTTTTAGCTGAAGCAAAAAACTTAATTTTCATTGATTACATAAATTAGCTTTTGAAAAAAAAGCAAATAATTGTGAATACAAAATAGTTTTTGGAACAGCTTTAGAAAAAGTAATAATTAATGTAATATTGACACAGCAAAATTTTCTTGAAACGTTTGCACTTCATTAGTCAGTAACTGTGTAAATATTATCAAATTTATCTTGGTTAAATTAAAACCTAGTATAACCACTACCTAAATACAGTAAAAGTTTCAATTTGCAACAAAAAATTACCTAATAAAGGGTTTAACTCCTCTTCTTTCATTGATAAAAGAAGACGAAAAAAACTGTTATGAGAAATGATGTTTGAAGTCTGATGACGGAGACTGGGGAGAAGAACAAGAAGAATGAAGAAAGGGCACTGATGGTGTTCAACTGAAGTGACAGAAATTTACCTTTCTGAGATAAATGTTCTCTAATTTTTTTCGTTATTCTCTCTCTTTAAAGTGAGTTCTTTTTTTTTTTCTTTTGACAAACAAAAGAAATAAAAACACATGTCTGAAAACATAAAGAGTAGGTTTATCTACAAATTTTTTTTACTTCTGGGGCTATCTTCTTTTACGCACTTATTAACATTTATGACAATTTAAAAATGGATAAACTTGACGTATATTTGGCTCTTTAAATAGCTATTGCTAAAAATGCATAGTAAGATGCGTGCAATGCATTGTTTTTTCTTTTCACACAATTACTTTCTCCACTTTTTCAGCCCTTTACCCCTCCTCAAGAAAAAAATTAGAATGAACAGATCATTTGCAGTTTTCGTGGGCTTATTGTGCGGTAAAGTGTCAAATTCAAAAAAAAAAAAAAAGTAAAACGGAATTTCGACACACATCCCAAATGTTACCAACAAAAATTGTAATCTGTTGACATTAAAAGTGTCATCACAAAAGCATCCAACTGGTTTTCCATCCCTCTTATCATAACACTTTTAATCACTTTCCTAAACCAATCGCAATGTTACGCCTATTCTCTTTCCTCGTATTCTAAACGCTTTTCATACATGCGTTGTGTAGTCAAATGAAAAGACGCTGTAAAATAGCTTTTAGATTTTACTGGTTGTACGTCTTCAAAAATCTTTACTGATCAAACAACTAACTTGTTTTAAAGTTCAATATAGGAGTAGCAGACTGTTTTGTAATAGTTTACTGAAAATTTCAATATTTTTTTTTGCTTTCTATGCACTTTTTCTCATTACGACGGAGGTAAATTCAAAAAATTGAGAGAACAGGCCCATTTGAGGCGATACATGGATTCCAGTGGCAGAACAAAGGAATTGGTCAAACAACTTTTTTCAGCAATGGAACAACAATGATGAGGATGATGAAAATGATTAGTTACGCCATACGATTGGAAATGAAGACAAGAAGTAGAAGAAGAAGAAGAATCCTATGGCTGTAAAAAAAAGCATAAATGTGAAGTGTAGCCTTGCCATATGGTATCAGTTTTTCAGCTAAGTTGAAATTAGAGGTATAATTAATAAATTGAAATATCTCTCAAAAAAAGTATCATTATAATTTAATCACAAACAAGTGTTGCAACTAAAAAATAATCTGTTTGTAAGCTTTATGAACAAAACCAGTATATAAATGTATAAAAACCTTAAATAATAGTTATTCTTTAATTATCTTCTTCAATGCAAAAAAATTAGTTTAGTCTTTTACCTTGTTTACCAATTTCATCTAAATCTGGTGGTGGTATAGGCGATGCCCGATTAATTTCCAATTGCGGTAATCGTACATCCAAGTATTGTGACTAAAAAATAGCTTTATTAAGTTGTATGAGTTACATTATTAACATCAATTGTTGCTGTTATCATCAACAATAAACCGAACTTAGCTAAGTTGCTAAAATTACTTTAGTAGAAAAAAATAGTACTGAAAAATAAGCACATAAAACATAGATTAATCTAACCTTCAAATTAAACTATCGCTTTAGTTGTGTTCTTTTTGGCATTACCAAAAAAAATACTAGATTATATTTTGATTGCTGTACAGTTTCAACGTATTAACGACAGTAAGAAGTGAATATCATTGTAGAAAAACTAATTCCGAACCTGGCCAAGCGATACACTGTCCCAATCCGATGCTTGAGAGTTCAATGATTGCTTCTCCAGTTCGTTGTCCTCCATGCAGTGAAAAAGGTGAAAAATATCTGTTGTCGTTTTGGTCACCGGTTTATCAGCAATCTTTTTCGTCTTGATTTCGTTTCCAGAGAATAGACTCGAAGAAGCGACGTTTTGATTTGTTTTTTTTTTCTGTTTTTCCCTCTTTTTTTTGTTCTTTTTCTTTTCTTCGCTTTATATATATATAGATATATTTTTTTTTTGCTCTCTAAATAAACTGTTATTATTGTTAGGGTTCATTTATCGTTATCAATGTCACCGTTAGCATCATTACTATCATCAAAAGTAACAACGAACGACATGTTAGTTAATGCTGCTGTACACAACTAAAGACTTTGTATTGTTATTTTTTTTTACTATAATATTATTGTTGCTGTGAAAAAATATAAAGAAAAAAAATAGAAAAGTGGATAGAGGATAAGATGAAAAAACGATAGCATGAAATTAAATAAAGTACATCAATTTTAATTACAAAGTAATATAAATAATTCACTGCACTCGATCTATGTATCAGAAGAATAGCAGAACAGTTTTGAATGCTTAAAATGATGCCAAAAAAAGTCATTTTTCTTTAAGTGACTCATTTGTTTCTTCTCGCAAAAACTCTTCTTTGCTGATGAAAAAACTTATTATTTGACAGACTTTACAACAAAATTACTTTCAGTTTGTATAGGTAGTCATAAAAAGAGTCAAGACTTACAAATAACAGAAAAAAAGGCATGTTTGACTGAACAAAACCCTTGTCAACAAAAATCTGGCATTGCTTGAAAAAACTGAAAAAGAAAAGCAGACTTTTTACACTTTTTAATTGATGGTAGTTGTTTAATAATATGATTATTATTATTTTCATTGTTACTGTTTTTATTATTAATAATGCTGTTGTTATTGTTCTCTTTAGTTTCGCGATTTGCATTAGCATATTTCTAACAAAACGTTTTTAGAAAGTATAACATAAACAGATGTAAATCAAAAAAAAATCGAGATGTTTATGTGAGTTTGAATGTTTAAAAGTTGTAATTAGTCCGCAAAGAAAACCAGCAAAATAAAAGTGCATAAAATAACAAAAAAAAATGGCTGTAAAAAGCGGAAAACCTTTTTTTCAGGAAACAAAAAACATCGCTTAATAGATATGGTAACGAGCATTTAACAAACAGATTAAAATTAGGTAAAGCTAACAATGATTAGCCGGTATAAAAGAATAATTTTAAAAGGCTTCGACGAAAAAAAATCATTTTGTCATCCGCTTATATGCATTCTTCTCTACATTTCGGAATTGTCATCAAGGTGTTTTCGGAATTTCTGACTACAATTTATTTCCTAAAATGCTCTAATTAATTCAGATAAGAAAGAGTTCAGTTTGTTATTTTATAAATTTGCTAATCTATGGCAAGATTTGCAAGCGTTTATTTGGATGTTTTACACCTCTAAGCAATTAGCTATTTGCTATGAAGAGATGCTGTTGATACAGACTGTCAAATTGAGTTACAAGTTTGTTTACATGATTTTCCCTAGACTTTACTCATTGAAACTGCTGTTTTCTTTCTCTTCAACAATACATTTTTTGCTCCGTTGAATTAGGACAAACAGATTTGGTGGGGAAAGTATGAATGATCAATTAAAATTTTAATTTTTCAACTTTTTTCTTTGGCAGCCTCTGTTTGACAAGACGAAATTACAGTACCGTCTTTGTTACTGTAAAACCAAACTTAAAAAATGGCGGGAAAACAATTGCAGCAGAAAACCTAATTTACCGCCATTTACAGTACCACTACTACAAATAAAACCATACTGAATAAACAGTGCTCCATTTTAGCAGTGTTCATTGCAAAACACTGCTACCATCTTCTCCTGTTGCTATGCTGTTCAACGAATAGTTTATCGTTGCTGTGACGTGTAAGCAGTAAAATAAAGACAAAAATTATAATAATGACAACAAACAACATCAATAATTGCCTAAATAATGAGCATTAAAGAATAGATCAGACGTTTTACCGGGCAGACGTCAACATTAAACAAATAGAGCTTTCAACCATTAAAACAGACAACTATAGAACTAAAAGTGACATCAGAAAGAAAAAATCTGAAAGACCTGATTATTTTATTTTAGTCAATAATTAATCTGAAGCTGATCAACAGACTTTCTTCAAGATCGTTGCTAATTATAGTCTTTTTGATGATATCACATAATCGATCAATTTTCTTTGTTTTGATACGGTCTTTTTTGGTTTGCAAGCAATTTTAATATTTGTTGCTGTAGTTTTTACAATATATAAATGCAAAAAATATTTGTCACATTTGACAAACATTCTTATAAAACTGAAAAAAGCAGTTCTTGCAAGAAAAATTTTGTTTAATAAGTTTTTAGAAATGTAATATCTATGACTAAATTAAAAAACGGCAAAAAACCAAAAAAAAATAAAAAAGACAAGAACTGTAGAGAAGATATTTTAAAAATTTAATATAAAAAATTTAACATTTTGTTTGTAAAAATGTATTCTTTTTTACTCATTTTTTTTGAATACACTGTTAGTCATGCAAAATAGCTAACTGTTGGCGGCAGATAGAACAGAATTTTGGTGCTAAGAAGGAAGAAGAAAAACGAGGAAGGGGAAAGAAGATGCAAAAGAAAAGATCAAAAAAAGTGGTCAGTTGCTTTGCTCTTCAAAGTTGTCATCAAAAAGATGTTTACCGTACTACTGACAAGGAGTAAAGTAAATAAGAAAAAAACAGTAACAACAATAAAAAAGTTGTTGTCAAATATTTTTTTGATAATTTTGTACAGTTTTGATTACTAGTCAAATATTTATTTGTTTAATTCAGATCTCAACCAGAAAAAACAGTTCCGATGTATAGACGTATGTAATGCATAAATAAACGATAAGACAGAAAGAAAAAGGTTGCAAAAAACGGTAAAGAAACAAGTATGCGAAAAGAAGGAATACCAATATTTATAAATGCCATTTCTTTTTTAAGATGATAAAAGTTGCAAGAAAAAAAGTAAGCTGAAAGGAAAACCGGAAGACTTCCATTCTATTCTCGTTGTTCGCTTTTAGCACTGAATATAAACTAAAGCTAAAAATTTCAGTGATATAACTGCTAGAATACTTTCGATTATTCTTTGCTCTTCGTGATTGTCTAATTCAATAACGTTTCATGCTAATCGCCTTATTTTTAAGCATTTTTTGTAAAACAAAAAAATAAAAAATAACAACAATAATGAGAAAAATTCTGTTTTTAATCATTTTATAAGGTGTGATTTTTTTTTTTTTT